GTAGCACACTTTTGCTTCCTGTCTTCTGGTATGGATGGGGGAGAATTTGGAATCCTGATCACTGGCTGGAAACATTTTCAAAAAGCAGCCTTGTTTATACTACAGACAAAATTTTGTTATATAACATTGGCTTTAATATTGTTTTAAAAATCTGTTCCTTGTAACAGATTTGTAAAGTAGGCAAGACCATAGCTATTTGCTTGTGACTTTCCATACCCTTTGGTGTGTTTCTCAGGCAGTGACAAAATTCTTTTTTTGATTGCAGTTCATGTAGAGAAGAATCATTTTCATCATTAGAAAGAGTCAGGGTATAGTTACATCCAATGTCCATATTTTAAAATGTATTAAAATCATCCTTTCTTAATAACCTCCTATCACCCTGACACCTCAAAATTCTTCACACCAACTGTGCAGGGTGTTTGTATATTTCCTGAGAAGAATTAGCACCTTATGATTGTTTTGTCTCTCTCCTGAATCAGAATCTTAATTAACAATCATCCCCCTAGAGCTTAGCTACTTCAATTAACATTTAAATAGATTCACCTTTCTGTAGAGTGCAATGTGTTTGCGGTTTTAAGTGCAAGACAGATTAACAATTCTGATGTTACAAGTACAGTATCAAAATTCAAGATATAGACACAGAAATGGTGAAGATTTGAACAGGTGGGTTTGACCTGTCACATTCTTCCTTATTACTTTGTCCTCGTCCCTGAAATCTGGAAGTTATAACCTGGTTCCCACTCAAAAAAGAGATTATGTAAGAGTGTACAATTAATTTTTCAAATTAGCACTTCTCCGTGATAAAACTTCCACAGACCCTCACTATAGTAAAGGAGTTCAGTTCAGACCAGTTAGTCGGAGATTACTAAAACACTGTATCATTTTGAAGCTGTAAATACCTTTCTAATTCTAATTAGAACAAGAAAGACAGCAGCTGACAGACATCCAGTAATATGTACCAGTTATCTGGACGTAGTAGTTTCATTCACAGTTTGGGTTTGATTATGTTCCAGGACAGGAAGCTGCTAGATATCCAGAAAGCCTGAAGGTAAAAGGGCCTTGTTTGATCAAAGGCAGTTGAGTACTTTTGATTTAATAAGGCTGGAGGATGATAGGATTTTTTGGAATCAAAGGTAACTGGATCATCTGGTTGCTCCTCTAAGTCAGGAGGATGCAACCCTCAACATGTGTGCCAGAATGTGGCGCACACAGGCATTTTGCTTGGCACATGTGCCTTGAGGCAGATGGCAGGAAAGGGGCCAGAGTTGAGCTGCCACAACAAGGCTCAGGCCCCTCGTAGCTCCCCTGCTGTCCACCCCAGCACACCAACATCTTAGAAGTTGAGGTTGTGGGTGTTTATGGGACTCTGCTCAAAAAACATTGTCGACCCGTGCTCTAAGTATAAGATACTTGAATCTTTAGGTTATGTAGAGGTGGGGTTCTGGATCATGCTTAGTCTGGTTCTGTCAACCTTATCCTTTATATAAAAAGCTGTCTAAAAACTCTTAAAATAGAAGGGTAGATTTTGCTGTTCAGAGGCTCAACATAGTTTTCAGGCTTTTTTTCCCCCTGAGATATCTTTATCCAAGATATGAGCCTCTCACTGTACCTATGATCAAAGAAGGCAGAAGGGAAAGACTGGATACCAGTAGTATCCTGGGTATTTAATTTCTGACAATCAGTTTTGATGGTCTAGCTCTAGCTAGACATAGAGATATGACAAGTCAGAGTCTTCCTACCTCAGTTAAATTTATAGGGTTTGCCTTGCAGGATGCAGTTGTTAAATGTGTAACCACTGCTGTGGATCAATGCCTCATTCAGTTCAGTGACAGCATTAGCTTTGTTAACATGTGGTTGGTATTGTTCATGCTACAGTGATTTAAAAGGGAAACGCTTATATAAAGTATGTATATGTAAATAAACCTAATTTGACCTTTCCACTAAGAACATCTTACAGACATCATTCAAAAAACAAGTGCTGTTGTGTCTTTTCTCTCTTTGGCTAGGGACAGATGTTCAAAAAACCTGAGCCTGAATTGATTCAGTCTTTGCAGGTTAGTCTAACTGGGCTAGGCTAAATCAGTTTGTAACTGCATAGACATCCCAGACATGCAGACACATGCCTGCAGTGGCTCAGGCTAGAAGCTGGGGGGCACTAGAGCAGCCCTCCCTTGCCTTCTACGGTGCTGAGATGAGGGGGGCATGGCCAGGAATTGATAACAGTGTTTATCACTCCTAACTCAGTGTTTATCACCCCATTAAGAAAACAACATGGGGACATTACCAGCTACCTGTTAATTCTGCCCTTGTCCCATCAGCCACAGCACGGACTGTAGCCAGCATGTGGTCTGCTAACTAATAGACAGACACCTCTCAGCAAGGCAGAGGAGGGGGGGGGGGGGGGAGGGGGCTGTAGTCTCTGTCAGAGCTCTAGCCAGGGAAGAGAGGGGCCGAGCCCCGCCCAGCCCAGAGAGCGTGTTTGGATGTTGTGGGTGTCTGGTTTAACTTAAACATGCAAGGGATCTGGGACAGACGTTGCATAAACCAGTTTGACCCAAATCAGTTAAGTCTGATACTACATTCAACCAGGTTTATCTCAAACCAGTTTCAGCCATTTTCAAACCGGTTTATGTGCACCGAATATCTGTTCTGTTACAGGTTTAAACCAGTTTCTGATCACTTAAATCAGTTTATGTGTAATGTCTGTCCCTACAAACCAGTAATTCTGTTAATATTTGTTTGATATCATTTTCCTATCAACTGTAGTAGATTTGGAAGGAATTTATTTTTTAAGAAACTACCAGAAAGGAAGGCAAAGAAAAATATTCCATCTTTCTAGTTTTTGATTCATCTCACCCTGTCACAGGCTTCTTGCTTGTGGTTGCATATGGTAATCATAGAAGAATGTATAGTGAAACCACTGCAAAAGGAAAAAAATGTTTAAAACTGTGCAATGGAATATATTTATATGATTTATATAAGATCAAAGTGAATTTCCAAGTTAAATGCATAGATGTTACTTTAACTGTATCAGTTGTTAGAGACCTTTGTGGCAGTTACCATGACTTTTCTGGTGTCCCACATATTTATTTATTTATTTATTTATTTTAAATCACAAATACTATTTATGATTTTCTAGTAGAGGGGGGATTGGTAAGCATCTGGCATAAGCTCCTCACCTCCAAACAATGAGATACCGGCACCATGTGTAGACCTTGTACAGAAAAAAACCTGGATTATTTTAAATTTTGGGTTTTTTTTTACTTTGATATTTATATGAACTAAGAAATCGCTTTCAATACTCACCTTTTCAAAATCAGTTTTTCACATTATAGCACTCTTCCCAACCAAATCCAGGGAAGCATCTATGGAAAAGAGGAAATATAGTCCAGACAAGGTACTGGACTAGGAATCAGGAGACTTAGTTTTCCTTCTTAATACATGATTTTGGTTAGAGCAGTTTACCTCTTCATCCTTCATCATCCTTATCTAATAAACACTTTGAGAAAGGAACTCATTATTACAACAAGTTTTATTTATGTATTCATTCATTTATTTGTATTATAGTAGTCCTTTGCTGTCTAAGCCAGCTTTTGCTAGGAACTGAACAAGTTCTTGTTTTGCGTTTGCATAGTGTCCAGTACAGTGATTCTTAACCTTTTTAGACTCAAAGGCATCCTTTGCTAGACTCAAGACCTCCCTTCAAAATATGAGCTCTTAGTTTTCACTTGATTATTTACCACAAAAAAATAATAGAGCTATTTTTCTGTTACAAAGAACTCAAAGACCATGACAGGTCAGAATGCTTCTAACACTATGGGTTCCTGTTTAAAATCTTTGGGTTTGTCTTATGAATCATGTTTGCTCAACTAACAGTGCTACCATTGCATGGCACTGCACCTCTCAAAGAATATCAAAGCACAGCACAGTGCCATGGTACCTTTGTTGACAATAATTGGTCTAGTAAAAAAGAGGACTCCTTGGATCACCTTCACACTGATAATTATTACTGTATTTTCTCTCATACAACATGTTCCAGAATATAATGCATCCTGTTTTTGAAAGATAGAATGAAGAAAAAATATCTTTCCTTGTAGTAAGTAACTGAGTAATAGCAAGTAGGAAGCTGAGCCTGCTCATTGTTCTGCTCTCTGTGGATTGCTCCAGATTTTACTTTTAGTTTCAGTGAGTAAGCATATTTCTCACATATAATGCACACTCCAATTTCCAGCAGCTGGTTTTTGGGGAAAAGGTGCATGTTGTATGAGAAAATATGGTAATAACACAGTTTCAAGGTCAATGGCTACTTGTTTAACAACATTTTACACCAGCATTTCTGTTTCTTTCATACTGAAAGATATTTTCTTAATCAGTTCAGGAAATGACCCTATTAAATCTATGCCATGAACTACGACTACAGAGACAGACTCTTTGCTGTGAAGTATGATGCACTTGTCAAGATATTCAAAAGTCAACAGATTTTTAGGTCAAATATAGTGTCATCTTCTGAATGAGCAAGAAGTTTTGGGAGTAAGTTGCTGCTTGGAGGGACGGCCATTTGACATAGGCATTGGATACTGTATTTCTAATCTAATTTATTTATATAGTTACTTCAGAAAGAGTACATTATTTTAGAATTCCTATAAAAAACCTATGTATTCAAACCCAGTCCTGTAACTGTTCAAACCCAGTCTGTTACTCCTCTGGGTTCCTGTTGTTCTAATATATTCCCCCAAAACAGTATAACATCAGGAACATAGTTGGAGTATAAGTCACAATTCTTATTGCAGGTTTCTGCAAGGGGCCTAAGTTATAAAGCAGGGAAATATTTGGTGCATCAAAAGAAGACTGAGCACTTAAATGAGTTATTAGTGGTTATTTGTATTTTGAACTTTTTTGGAAAGTTATTTTGGACAGCATACCTGAGAAATCTTATGTATGCTTCACATATATAAAATGTTTTAAGTATAGAGAATTTAACCTTTGTGAATTTGTTTCAGGTATAATTAAAAGAAGCTTCAGTGCATCTGAAAGGCAACTTCAGATTAGGTATGTATCCTATTAGATTTTGAAATAAACCCAGTTGATCATTATTTTGAATTCCAGCACAGCCATTTAAAAAAGAGTTGCTCCTACACATCCTATGAAACATTTGGAGAGTGTCTACGTTAATAAGTATTAATATTTTAGTTACTTCAATGGAACTGGCAGTCTATTCACATGAGCTGTAAATTCTAATGCAAACGTTATTCTTAACCAGCTAGTCAGACTTCTGTACAGAGTTAAATAAGTGTTTTGGAAAATCCATGATCTGGTAAAACCAATTTTCCGACTGCCTGGTCTAAGACGGTAAGAACCATGATGGATACCACAAGGTCTTGACTGCTGCTCCCACCTCTTTGCTGATTGCCTCACTACATAGATCTTCATAGTGCTTTTTAGAGAGTCATAGTATTCTCCATAGGAGAGAGCTCAACATGGGTGCTTGCCTTTTTCAGTGGAATAACTGAGACACAAACAAGTTATGCAATTTACCCTATGCCACCTAGGAAGTCTTTACTGAGGCCAAGAATTGTTAAGCTGCTCTAATTAAAGTGCCCAGAGCATCATGTGTATAAGTGGCCCCACACTGGAAAATGGCAGCAGGAGCACTTTTAAGCTCATCAAATGAACTTTAGTTAAAGCCCCCCACTGCCATTTTTCAATGTGGGGATGATGATACACATGATGCTGGAGTCTGCTGAAGCACAGTAATTACCACACTCCAGCAAACTTGATTAATGCGCTGTAATTACAGTGTGTTGGAGCAGCCTCCCTGCACATGTATAGGCAGCCTTAGTGATTTAAATTCCTTTAATGATTTAAACACTAGCTTTGTTAACATGTGGTTGGTATTGTTCATGCTAAAGTGATTTTAAAGGGAAAAGCTTATGTAAAGTATTTATATGTAAATAGACCTAATTTGACCTTTCCACTGAGAACATCTTACAGACATCATTCAAAAATCCCTTTCAACCCCTTAAATGCCTCTTCAGTCTTCCTGGTTCAACTTTTCCTTTGATCAGAAGCCATTCACATGTCTTGGTCTTTACCAGGCACTTCTCTGTCTAATTTCCTGTGCTGAGTTCCCCTTCTCAAAGTGTCATCTTGTCTCTTTTCAAGTTCTTTACCTCTCTGCTCCACCCCCTGCTCTGCCAGTCAGCCTTACCAGGAATTCTAAATTATCAATGTTAATGAATTCTTTTCTTTTTCCTTTTCCCCACTGATATTGTTGAATCTCTCCAGATCTCAGTTGCCTTCACTCTTAACTCTTATCTATCTCCCCCTTTGCAAGGTTTGGCCTGCCAAAACTCAAACTTAGATCATCAGCATCTGCTTCTGCTTCCTCTTATGTGATAAAGCATCTCTGGTAGAAATCCCATGACCAGCCTGACTTCCACAGTTCATCCTCTAATTCAGTTTTGCCATTTTCCTAGCTAAACAGCTCTTCTTTTCCAGCTTAAGAACAAGTAATGTCAAATCAACTTGACTTCCTGGTTTGGTGGATAAGGGAAAATGATATAACACATTTGGACTTGTAATAAGGCTTTTGATACAATGCCATGTGCTAGTCTCATAAGTAAGATGGAGAAATTTTGGCTAGATAGAACTTAATATAAACTAAACAAATTCTTTCTCTCTGCACCTCCAAGTACTTCCTACTGAAGAAATCCTTTCTTGATCACTGTAGACAATACCATCATCCTACCTAACACTGGTCACCTTCATCCCCCAAACCTCTCTCCAGCTCTTCACATTCAGGCTATATCTTGAAAATTGTTTCTGCATAATATCTCTAAAGTACTGTCTTTCCTTTCCATCTATACAGCTGAAGCTCTTCCCCAGATTTCTGTGAATACTGCAACATCTTTTTCTCTGGCTATGAAAAATGCAATCTTGTCCTGCCCATATCCATTTAAAATGGTGCTGCAAACATCATTTCCCCGAACACCACCGCCATCCCTCATCATTTTCAACATGTCACCCATCTCTGTACATCCATTTGCTGGTTGCCTCTTCTTTATCACAGCAATATACATTTGTCTTCACTTTCATGGTCCAAACTCTTCAAATTTTCTTTTTGCCTGATGCTTTGGTGAATCCAGCAAAGGCATGAAGAGTGGGTAGGTACAGCTCCTTCAGCTGTACTGCACGTCCCTCTGAGCTCCTCCCTTTTCCTCTAGTCCTGAATTTTTCATAGGAAAGAGGAGTTGAAGGTTGTCATCACTCACCCCCTGGGTTTCAGAGCTTCATGGAGCTCCAGCAAGAGCCTACACTGACCACCTGATGAGCTTAGAGAGCTACCTATGCATGTAGCACACAGCCAAAAGGGGATGCAGCCATACCACCATAGTCTTCTGGATCTTTCCCTGCCTAGAAAACAGTTCAGTGATTATACTGCTGGTCTACTGAGTCTGTTCCCCATTATGTTGCCCAGTATTGTCTCATTATTTTCTCATCTCATCTGTCTATATACATTTGTTCTCTCTTGCCTTTAATTGGAAGCTTTTTGGGGCAGTGACCGTCTTTTTGTTCTGTTTATGTTCTCAGACCTAACAGTCAATGACTAGGCTTCCTAGGCCCTATGGCGGTGGCAGTGGTGGTAATAGTAATAATATTTAACGCAAATATCTTTTATCCTCTAGACAAGAGTGCTACCAGTGCAAATTGCTTCATTCGCTGCTGGGTTTTTTTGTATTTACCATCTGTGAATGATAATGTATATCTATTTATATAAAGTGGCTAGAGATCTACAGATGAAGACAACATTATGTAGTTTAGTAGATTAATGAGAGCTTTAAATGCTGAAGATCTGGGGCTGATTCTTATTTGTTGCACAGTAAGGGTTAAAAATCAGAAGTCAAAATGACACACCCCTAAATTTATTTGTAAGGCAATATTGCAATACATCTGGAGACTGACTCATGATTTTTGGACAGTTGGGGTTGATAATAACGTATATAGCTTGACAAAGACTTTTAAATGAAAGATTCTTGTTTTTCATTCTGATATAGCCAGTTGACAACTGTGTGAAGATTCATGGTCTTGTTCTCTTTTGTTTTGGACCTAGGATCAGACAAGGAAATTCTTTGCATAGAAGTAGTTGCACCAGGAGAGAGGCAAGGTGCTATATGCCATTTCTTTTCACCTTGTTGTTCTTATCTTCCCCACACAGCCTTGGCTTTTTTTTTCTTTCTGTTGCTATCACCCGGAGTACATGTATAGATGTGTATTTTCATATCTATACAGTGAAGTGCTTAAAATTACTTTAAACTATTGGTTACAAGCTAAGCAGCTGCAGCAGCTGGATTAAGCCAAGGGCTTGTGGTATAGATGGAAGGCAGAAGACAAGGAAAGACGTGTGAAGGTTTATGAGGATATTTTGTTTCCTCTATAATCATTGACTTTGAAGCTGAATGCTATCAAAAATCTTTGTTTTATAGAGATTATATTGGAGGCCCAGGATCAAGACCAAGACCAGGTAATTTTATGTTTACTACAACCACATTCACCCTACATTAACCTTCCAAGTTCTTTAAGGCCAGGTACAGACATTACACTTTTACCAGCATAAGTAATTGGAAACTGGTCTATTCTTATAACAGAACAGGAATTTAGCACACAAAACCGGTCTGTACCTATAACAAAACAGAAGTTCGGCACACAGAGACTGGTTTAAAAATGGCAGAACCTGGCCTAAAATTTGCCCCTCCCCCGCTCTGCCCCCAAGGGCAAATGTGTGTTCTGTTCACTACCAATCCAAACTACACAGCTTAGAAAAAAACTGTGTAACTTAGATCGTTTCCTCCTTGGGCTTTTTGAATGTCTGTGCCTAACCTAAAAGCTTATGTTATGGTTGTATGTACAATATCTACCTCTTTTATTTCTTCAGCTTTTCTGCCTCTTGACCTGCTTCTGAAAGTACCTTCGCTCATAATCAGGGCCCACGTTAAGAAAACAGAGGACTCGTTAGTGACAGGGTGGCAGTCTCATAGCCTTCCAGCTGTGATTCTTCGCAATCTGAAAGATCATGGTAGTACTTCCTAGTACATTTTGTAGTCAAGTGATAGAAGAGCAGATAATTATGTCTAAAACTAAAATATAGTTTATGAATAATCCTCAAGGAAACTCTTTTATGTGAGTTCCAGGAAAATTCTCTAGGTCCTTGTTTAAGCATGCCTTACCCAGGACAAATTTTAATTTAATGCAATAGGAGTTGCTCCTTAGTACAGAGTGTTTCATAGAGCCCTTGTAAGTTATGGTATATTTGTACATAAATAATCAGTGGTGAATTTTTTTTTATTTCTGATGCTTTTATTTTCACTTGTCTGATTCAAATGTTTTGGCTGTTGGACTTGCTTTATAATGTGTGCTCTTGTCTGAATTCAATTGTGTTTAAAAGAAAATGATTTTGAGCAATTGGATTATCGATCTTCCTAGAGGAGCTACCATGTTTATACAGTATTTTCTAACTCACAACTTTATGGTTATTGTCTGTATTGGGAATTTTAATTACACAATACAAAACGAAAAATATAGTCCAGTTATAACCGTTATTTTCCATGGAGCATTGTTGTTATGGATACACACTCTTTGAATGCACCCTGGGATATCCAGCCAGATCACATCAGAACTGAAATGACTTGTGGGGCAACTCAACTGTTCTCTGCCAATGTGTTCAGTCTTAGGGGTAAATCAAAGAGAACTCTGGTATCTCCCTTTTGTCAGTGCTCTTTTTCCTTAGGAAATAAAATTGCCTTTATGCATCAGTTCTAATTTTATTTTCTGATTTAGTGTTGGTCTAGGTAGTTAATTGTGTTGTCAATGTAGTTGACAGGTCTGCACCCAACACAGTGCAGGTTTATCAGCCTGGATACTGGCTGCTGTTCAGCTCAGTTGATGTGATTAGTCCAAGCAAGAAATCTGTGTCCAAATATTGCACATCTTGATAGAGCAAGATTCTCATCATGGGCTTAAATTCCTCTTGTTGCCATGTCTGTGTAAAGGTGATACTTCTGATTGTATGGCTCTTATTCTCTCTTCTTGAGGCGTTGAGCATCATATAATTGGATTCATCCTGCTAGAAAAGAATGCTCAGAATAGTGATGGGGGGGGGGGGGGGGGGCGGCAGGGAAATTGCCATTTGAAAGTAGGCTAGATAATCAGCATCAGTTACTTACAGCAATTCCTTAACATCCTTTTCTTCCAACTAAACATCTGGAAATCATCATTATTTTCAACTCAGCACAGAGGCAAGCATCAGTGTTGAGAATCAGCTTCAGCAATATCTGTGTTTCTCTGTAATTAGTTAATTGCTATCTTTCCAAGGAAAAAAAAGTGTGCCCATAACCCAATCTCATGCTCCAGAAGGCTGTTGATTTAAACCTTGTCCTTTCTCCTACTTCTGTGTGCTATTCCCAGTTGTCTATCCCAGAGAAACAAGTTGTATGGAAGATGTCCAACTACAAAAACTGCTGGACTGAGGCTCTTCCCTAAGTGCTGGCCCCACTGCTGTCTTAGGTGATGTTGGAAGCTCTGAGGTTGTGACAGGTTCCTTGTCCCCAAGATCAAGCTGTAAAGTCTGCTCCAATGAGAAAAGAGCATCCGGAAACTGTGGGGTTTTCTGTCCTCTGCGGCATTGAAACCATCTTTATTCTTTTTGTGATGGTTGGTGGTTTTTAAAAAAAGGATGGCCTTCATGTAGGACAAGGGAAAAGCTTCTTAGTCTTCAAAAATAAATCTGTGTATATTCTGTATGAACTGTCAGTTTTCTATACATTCACTTAGATATGGTTGGTCTCAAGACATCACTACAATGTCATTATCAACCAACCCCGCCCAGTAATAAGGGAGGCAACAGGAATATTCAACAGGTCAAGATTCAGATCACGATGATAGCTCTGTTGTGAGCTTATCCATGAACGATGCGTGGCACTGGAGGCTGGGGGAGGGGAGGGGCATGGTGAACACCCACAGGTGGCGACAGTGGTGGTGGCAAGTGGCACATACAGGCTGCCACAGTGATGTCGGAGGCGAGGGCAGGCTGAGCAGGGACCATCTGCAGGTGGCTGCAGTGGTCTCGGTGGTGGGGATGGCGAGTGGGGACCCCTGGTTAGATCCCTGGTTGCCTATATAAACAGGGCAGTTCACTGCTGGCATTGGCAGGCCAGGCAGTAACATTGCCTGGCTGCATGCAACATCCTGAAGGTAAGGGCAGGAGCTGTAGGGGATGATTTGGAGGCTTCTGGTCCTGGATATGACCTAAAACTGCACCCTGCATGGAATCGGTGGCCTGATGGGGCTCTCAGTGGTGCGGGAGCCCCCAGGAAATGCCAGGCCAGTTATCACCCTGGTGAAAGGTGAGTAGGGATGCCTTAACCCCAGCCCTCACCTTCAGGTGGGCCATATTCCATAGGAGCAGGGTAGGCCAGTTAAGCTTCTGGAGGCTACTGAGCCTGCTGGAGGAGTGACCTGCTGGAGGAGTGGAGGAAGGCACTCTTCCAGGAGCACCTAAGCCAGAAACGGGGGACCCCGATCCCTAAGTGCAGGCAGGAGTTGTAAACCCAACCAAGGAACTCAACTGGTCAATGCTGGGACCGGGACCGGAAGGGTCAAAAGGGCCAGGGACCCACCGTGAGGAATGCCCATGATGAGCAAAGAAGCTCAGGGTCCCGGCTGGCCTGAGATGGGGCCAGGGCTTATATGGAAGCCGAAGGGCCCCTGGCTGGCCTGAGATGGGGCCAGGGCTTATATGGAAGCCGAAGGTCCCATGACTGGGGCCACAGCTAATGGGCAAAGGGGACGGTTGAGCCAACTGCCTGAGATACCATCTGCAAGGCTTGGGCTGCAGTGTAGGGGTGGAACGGAGCTGTGGATAGCCTCCCCAATATTGGGGTGTACAATGGGCAGCCTCCTGCCTAATTAACACTCAGTTATGTTCCATCAAGGCATAGCAGGAGAGACAGGTGGGTGGTGTGCCCAGAGGCAGGTGGGGAGACTAGCCCTGTGGCTAGTCAGGGACCCCACTTTGTCACACTGCCTTCTAGTCTTATTTTTCTATGGTAAAATATGAGGGGATGAAAAAATATAGAATACATACCTAAGTTAGCCTCTAAAACACACTAGAAAGTCAACTGCCCAGAGTTCTATACATATATTTATGCTCTTGAATTGGCTTCCAGACCAGATGTCCAATTTGAGAAAGCAGTTATGTAATCTTAACTAGCTTTCCTCCAATGTTTATTGGCTGATCTTCTGAGAGTGTGGATCCATACAGACAATTTGCTGATAACTAAGGCTTTCACTTAAGCTCTAAACATGATAATGTATATAACTTTTAAATATGCAGCATTAGAAAATCTTAAAAATAATAAATTACTGTATTTGCACAAATGCAAGGCAATTCTAAATGTAAGAGGACACCCCCCCACACACACACAATAATTAGATTCTACACATGGAAAATGTATGTTTATTGTAATTTTCCATGTGGCATCAAATTATTAGAGGATCATCTTAAATTTGTCCCTCCCTACTACTGCAGATGGTGGGGAGAAAGGTGATGAGGGAGGCAGTAATGTGGCAAGCATTAGTGGACAGACAGTGGGGGAGGCAGATGGCGTGCATGTGGTAGGGCAGGCAGCGGGGGGCAGTAATGAGGCAGGCCATGGTGGGTGATGGGGGACAGGTGGTAGGGGACAGGCAATGAGAAAGGCAGGCAGCTTGTCCCCTGCTGCCTGTCCCTCCCCCCACTTATCTTCCATTGCGCCTACCTTCCATTGCACCTGCCCCCTCACCCCATGTAGCCTCAGGCTACCTAAATTCCCCCTTCCCCTTTTCTCTCCTCCACTCCACTTCTGCCCCACTGCCTAAGGTCCCCACCCCCCTTCCTTCCTTTCATCTCACCACCCCCGAAGTCTTTCCCACCTGCCTGCCCCTTAACCCTCCTCCCCTACCTTTGCTGGCAGGCTAGGTCCCTGCTGCAGCATGGGGCATAGAGTATGGCTCCAGTCTAGCCCCATAGCAGTAGCACAGAGCCAGCACTGCTGCCATGGGGCCAGCACGGAGCAAAGGTAAATGCAGCAGTGGGGGAAGGGGAGAGAAGTGGTGCAGGCTCCAGCCTAGGCCCCAACCCAGAGTTGAGTCCAGGACCATAGAAGCTGCCTGGCCCCCCCACTGCTTATTGGGCTGAATTGTAAGATGAGGGGCTTCCCCCCCCCCATGTTAAATTGTGGGGAAACCTTGTCTTCTAATTGAGTAAATACTAGGACTGTGCAAAGCTTCAATTACTGATTTTACTCGGGGGAGATTCGGCCCAATTTGGGGGGCTGAATCTCTGAATTCAAACCAAATCAGGAGACCCATTAACCTCTCCAAATCAAATCAGAAGCCTCTGAATAGATTTGGAGAGATTCGACAATTCGGCCATTGACACAGCTTTATATGTTTTCTTTATGTATCTCAAGGTACCGGGTGTGGCTTGTGAATGCTGAGATGCTGGGGCAAATGGAGCATCCCATAGGAGCATGGGGTGGGGTCCCCCGCGCACTTGGTGGCAGACCTGGAAGTGGACCAGAAGTACTTCCAGTCCACTTCCAGGTCTGCTGTGGAGCATGTGGGGGACCACCCCACCCCTGGCTCAGTGACTGGTGCCTCCTGGGTCTCTGGGGGCTTCCGGGTCCACTGCTGAGTGTGCAGGGGACCTTCCCCCCCCAAAAACTCCCATGGGATGCACCATCTGCCCTACCATCTCAGCATTCACAAGCCACGCCTAGTACCTCAAGGTATGTAGAAAAATGATATAAAGCTGTGTCTATGGCCGAATCTATGATCCTCTGAATCAGAATTGAATCTTCCAATTCAGATTTGGCCAGATAGAATTAGGACAGTGATCCAAATCAGCGAATCAAATCACTATCCCCCGAATAGGGCCAAATCCAAATCCAAATCAAATACTGTCCGCTTTTCACACCCCTAGTAAATACACTGTAATTGCTTTACAATATAAGAATTAAAGAACCTGGATCTGATTTA